AGAGACGGGGTTTCACCATGTTGACCAGGATGGTCTCGATCTCTTGACCTCGTGATCCACCTGCCTCGGCCTCCCAAAGTGCTGGGATTACAGGCGTGAGCCACCGTGCCCGGCCGTGCCTCACTCTTAAATATGGTTTAATATTTAAACATGGATGGACAACCAATGAGTACCAGAAAATTAAGGAAAACCTTCAATGTGAAAGACCAAAGCAATAAAAGGATTTTAAAGAAAACCAAGAGTTAGGCAGGATGGTGGACTAGATGCAGCCAGGTGGAACAGCTGCCACCCAGGGACTGAGATGACTGGCGCAATCCTAACAGATCTTCAAAGGGAAGGCACTGAGTGGGCTGAGAAGACACAGAAGCTGGACTGAAGCAGGAGGAAACTGAGAAGCCTGCGTGGGGCTACTGTGAACTGGGACTGGTTCCTGGCCCCCAGTGACTCTGGGGGAATGAGTGAGTTAAACTGGCAAGGAGCAACTCGCTCTTGCCAAGGACCTCTGGGAATCCTGGCAAGAGGGGATCCCTCGATTACCACGGACACTTTAGTTGGCAGGGAGAGTTGATTAGAGAAGTGGTAGAGGCAGTACGCTAGCCAGTATGGAGCCCAGAGGATTTGTTGCTGTAGCATCTGTACTGGAACACAGCCTGGGATGCCCATCCCCCTAGGCTCTGCTTGCTCCCATAGGAGACTCTAGCACTAGGGGAACTGTCAGACCTGAACTCTGTAGGGTGGTCTTGCCCATCAGACAGGGCTGGTCTGACCTGAGCACTCTTTGGTCTGCTGTCCTTCTCCGGGGCCCCAGACTGGCCATTCCTGCTTGCAGTACAGCCTAGGGTGCCCTGATGGCCCGCATCACAGCTCCTGAGTGGGCCAACCGGGCTTGACCAGTGGAGAGCTCCAGCAGAGTTGCCCCTGTGGCCATGCACTGGACCACCTGCTCATTCTCCCCACTCTAGCTTACCCTGGGCCCACGGCCACCCTCCACATCACTTTGCTAGTGTGTATATGCACAGGTGGATCTTGCCTTCCCTGCCTCGAAAGCACACATGTGTATGTGCACCTTGCCCTGCCTGCTGCCAGTGGGAGTGCACTCCGCCCACTCTCCTCTGCCATACTGCCATTGTAGTCAAAGCCCTGTGCCTACCAGCACCCTGACCCTGAGCCAGCACTGCCACTAGAATGCAACCAGGCACAGAAGACAGTGGACACTCCCTCACCCTGAGCAGCCATCTCTGCTTGTATCAACATGTACAAAGAGTGCATACGGTTCTGCATTGGCCAGTGCCGATCCCCATGCTAACGCCACCACCAGAATGACCATATGCAGAGTTGCCAGCTGGGGCCCCTGCACACCTGAGCCAAGCTGCCTCTGCTGTTTCTGCAAAAGCCCACGTGGAAGCCGCTAGCACCCTGCAGTAGCTGATGAGCATGCACCCCGCTGTGCTGCCACTGGCATGTGTGAACAAGGACGGGCCCTGCTGTCACTGCCCTACGAAACAGTTTGGCTGGCACCACCAATTGGCACATTGGGACAAGAGGTCCAGAAACACCTCAGTCCCCACAGCATAGTGGGTTCCTAACCTTGAGAAGCCAGAGAAAAAAGTAGAGGACCGGTATCAATCCTGCAAAATTAAAGCATGCACTCCAGGAGTTGTAAGCTGAAACTTGGCCCCCTAAAATCTTCTAGAAATGAAGCCAGTTGACTGAATCTACCACCTTATACCACAATCAAACCCTTAAGGTCATCAAATAGGACAAAAGAAAAAAAAATCCAAAAGTCAGCGACTTCAAAGACTGAAGGAACATCAGCCCACAAAGATGAGACAGAACCAATAAAAGAACTCTGACAACTCAAAAAGCTAGAATGCCCTCTTTCCTCCAAACAACTGTACTAGCTCTCCAGCAAGGGTTCTGAAGGGGCTGAGATAGCTGAAAGGACAGAAAAAGAATTCAGAATATGAATAGGAATAAAGGTCATCAAGATGCAGGAGTACACTGAAACCCAATCTAAGGAAGCTAAGAATCATAATAAAACAATACAGGAGCTGACAGACAAAATAGCCAGTATAGAAAAGAATATAACTGACCTGATAGAGCTGAAAAACATACAAGAATTTCATAATGCAATCACAAATATTAATAGCATAACAGAAAAAGTGGAGGAAAGAATCTCAGAGCTTGAAGACTGGCATTCTGAAATAAGACAGCCAGAAAAATATAGAGAAAAAAGAATGAAAAGTAACAAACAAGACTTCTGAAAAATACGGGATTATGTAAAGAGACCACTAAACACCCACATCAAAAAGACAGGAAGATCTCAAATTAACAACCTAACATAACAAAAAGAATTAGAATTAGAGAACCAAGAGCAAATCAATCCCAAAGCTAAGAGAGAAGAAAAGAAATAATCAAAATCAGAGCTGAACTGAAGGAGACTGAGACATCAAAAGATAAATGAATCCAGGAATTGTTTTTTTTTTTT